ATTGAGAATTGTGAACCTTGGCTCCATTTTTCCCAGCGTTATAAATAACCTAGAAACTCATCCAACTACAACTTGTATTGTTCATATGTATCCAATAAGAGATATGTTCACAAATATCTTCAGGTGTTAAGTTACACCTTCACATAAATGAAACGGGCCGTCTCCTAACAAATATTATTAAGTTCGCAAATATTGGTCCACAACCGTTTGTTCATAACACAAGATCTAGATTTATCTTACGGATAAATCTGACTTTTTCTTTATCATTCCAATTATCTATTAAGTTTTTCATTGTTTCTTAAACCTAATAGGTTATTCCATTGAAAAACACTCTGTGATTTTTACATCGTTATATGAACTCTCAGCAGTGTGTCGATTACGCTAGATTTAGATAACAAGGGTATTATTGCTGTTAAATCGTGCACTATTGGTTCTTCATGCGTACTGTCGTAATACACATCTAAATCTTATTCTTATATTTCAGTTCTTGGTTTATGGGATCTGGTCTATCAACCTGTTTGCAGCTTCTATGGGACGGCTGAATTACCTAATACATCATTGGATTCTGGTCATGTTGGTACAGCTGTTTGTAAATTGGGTCTGTTTAAAAAACCTCATCAGCTTCGTAATGAAATTTGTCATAGTAGAGAATATACGCTTACAGATACATCTTGTGGTACCAATCGAAGTGGAATTATTCATGGTCTTAGAAGAGGCACACGATCATTTTCAACAAGTACTCTATGGGCTACCTTACAGTTGAGTATTCAAGGTATAAGAGCTCTCCAATCTATTGCAGAAGTGAGTTTCATATTGATTTAATTTATTTAAAATGTGTGCACAATAATGAACATATAATTCCTGTTGTATATTTCGAAACTTAAATAGATTTCTAGTTCCGTTTTATTTATCAATGGATGTTTATGATTAAAAATATTAACTGACAAACGTCAACATAATTTAGTTATCTTACCTTGGCAACGAGAGGTTTAAATAAAGCCAGAACAAATATTGATGCAGAATAATATGAATTTATTTTATTTTGAGGTTTTTCGTCAGCTGCTTACAACCAAATATGTATTACATTGATCCTCTTAAATTATATGAACTCTTCAAATTCTATTCAATTACTGCGTAATTCATCTTATCAGTTTTTAATTCCATGAATCCTTCATTACCTCTAAAATTATCACACAATCTATCTTATCTGTCTCTGAACTCCACTCAACTATTACACCACCCATCCTTAATGTTTCCTTAATTCTAACATCAAATAACCTCTGGCCTGTTCTTGCATCTCAGAGGACCATTAAGAACTCTAGGCTACTCATACAGGTTTATGCGTCATCGATCCATTTGTTAAGTTGGTGTTTTCTAATTGGCGATCGTACTACATAATATATTAATAAGGCCATACAGCCATAACAGTATCCACTATCCGCTGTCTGGTGGTCTCACTTATGTTTAGGTGTATGTCAGAAAATACTGGGATGGTAGTCATGGGCTGAATGATAATGTAATGTGTAAGAGACAGTCTGTTGTAGCAAATATGTTTTCAAGGGACCGGTGAACATCTAGCCTCCGAAGTGGGTGAATACACCTATATGTATGCTACAGGATGCATGGGATAAAATCTATGCTATCGGTGTGCATGCAACGTATATTTGCTCACAGAGTAGGTATATCTGTATGTATACCAAGGAATACTCGGATGAAAGTCTGTGTGTTACCTACTATGCATGTAGACTATACTTATCCAGAGTAAGCAAAAACTCCAAAAAATCCTTTACTTGGTCTCCATATCACGATACCTACATACAAGCAAAGACCTGCGGGGTTGTGATTCTCCATGAAATCACATCCACGCAGTGGGTTTGTGAGCCTTGAAAACACGGAATCCATCCCAGAAGAGCCTACAGGCCTCGCTAAAAAAAGGGTCTATCAACCAATCTGGTTGGAACACCACATCACCGGTCGCACTTGCGAATACTTTACTTCCTTCCAGACATTTTCCCCTACTTCACGATAAATTTCTTCAGACATCATTTTAATAAGATACTCATGAATGTATGCTATTTCTTCTTGTATTTTATAGCTGAACACAGTCTCCTAGCCCTGTTAAATAAGGTTTTAACCAAACAACTTTTGTAACTAACAGGATAAAAACTATAACTTGAGTACTGTTCCGTCGATATTTCTTTCCTGGTAATAATCAAGAATTGAGTAAGATTAGTTTACCCGTGCGTTTTTACATTCAACACATGGCCAATGAATGAATAACTAAACATTTGATTTTATCTCGAAAGTACAAGTTTCAAATTATAATCGATCTCATTGGAAAAGATACAATCAATATTTATCTTGGTGTAAATTAGTAACATCACATTATTTATTTTCTAGTTGATTCGTACCTTCTAAATACTTTTGCTGTTTGTTTATTAGCGATCAATATTGAATAGGAACTAGTTACGTGTCTTTTACATCATAATAAATTATATATTTGTTATTTTTCTTTTCATAATTTAGACGGCTTACGATTTAGTTACACCAGGACCAGCTTTACGTAGTCGACGATTATATTTAAGACAACCAGCTGATATACGCGAAGGATTTGGTAATGCTGTAAATGTATTGACGCGAGGATTTCAAATGGTAGCAGAAGATTTGTGTGGTGCTACTGCATTACCATCAGAAGTTGAAATTGGATATAAAGGTCCAGTTGGAATGGTTGGTGATGTGTTACGTCAAATACCACCAACTATGGTCACGCCCATAGTGGCCAGCTGTGAAGTAAGCACAATGAATTGAATTATTTTTCTCTTCCCTCTTTGAGCTTTATACTGCTGTTTGTATGATTCGCTAAAATGTTCATTGCTGGATGCGTAGACGTTCTGCCAAACACATAACCAGTAATAACAACCATGTGACATGTTTGCAAGATCGCACAAGATAAGCTATAAATTAAATTTAGTTATTTATCCAGATGATCAACTGTATTGTAATGAAGAAGACTTCTTTCCTCAGAATGATAAGAGTATCGAATAGAGCTAGAACCTGGCAGGCTGAAAATTACTTCTAATCTTCTGGTTACCACCTGTACAACAATTTTATTATGTAATGAGAATCATTAAGTTCTGTAATCTGTTACCATAAATCTTATCACTAAATATTTTCTGTCCATATAATTGTTTGTCATTCAAATATTGTAACAAAATTGTCATTATCGTTTTTTCTTATCATCAATCTTTACAGGTAACAGCAAATATTCTCGGGGGGTTACGTAACCAACTTAGACCTGAAGCTAAAGTTGAGGATGAACAAAAGTGGAAGAATACTTACGGCTTATAATTAAAAAAAAGTAATAAATGATAAAAGATAGATCTTTTTATTCCGCTTGCACATAAACACGTCAAAAAGTGTATAAATTATGAAAGATGAGAACTTTTTAATTTTGAAACACTTAATTATTTGCCTTTCTCCTGTTACTGTTCACTTTTAAACCATTTTTTTCGCACATTAACTAACTTCAGATTAATATTCATTTAACTGATATGTCTTTCGTTATAATCTCATTTATCTTTAATCCTCAGCCAATTATTTATGAGAGTACATTGGATGTAAATTTTGTGATTTTTGCGAACTTGAATAAAACCCCTTTTTTTCTCTATTTCCCGCTCTCCTTTATTATGTTCACTCTGCAATGTTGTTGCCGCTGTTATTATTGTTATTAATTCTATTCAGTTTCACTTCTATTTTCTATTCTTCAGCTTATTTTGCTTTTCCCTTAAATTATAATTTCAATGATGTGGCTTATTTTTATTTATTCATCAAAGAATAAAAACAAAGGCCAGATTGAGTTTCTAGTGGGTTGTGTACAATTATCAAGCTTGTTAATAATAATGAACAACAGTTTTCTTACTGTGCATAAATTTTCTAGATATTTCAAATTTTTTATGTATTTATTTATCGACTGAGGAATAGTGTTATTGTAAGTCAATGATTTCGACTATTAACAGAAAAAACGAAACATGATATTAAGTTGTATACACTAAATGACGTAGGTATCTCAAAGGATTCAGTCAGTAAATAACAACGTAGAACTTCGTACGTACATCAGTTTGAGTTGCCATACCACATTAGCACAGATGATTACTGGGATTATTGTCTAGTATACTAATTCATAAGTTTGTGGTTAGGAAATCTTCGATGATCGTACTCTGTACCACTGTTGCAGTAGCACAATTAAAGACTTCGAAATAACGAAAGAAAACCATTGAATCATTCAACAAAATCGTAAGTTTTCGGTGAAGAAAACTATTTTGGATGATCATTTACTAAAGCTGTACAATAATATCTATAGTTATTTTTTACATGCAGGATGGACTCCTGTTCGTCCATATTTTCATTTTCGTTATAATCTGGTGGATAATATTTCACATCTCGTTCCTATATGTTATCTCATCATTAATACCATCTGACTGATACGTAGCTTAGGATTCTGACCGACTTTTAGTGGCTCTGTTAATGACACATTAAACTCTTTATTTATATTACACCCTACTATATATAAAAAAGTAATTTTAAGTACGGTTGTATGACTGGTGAATGTGATATTCGAAAAAACCTTTTCTCTAAAACATCTTCACTTCATGCATCGTTAACAAGTTCTTTTATGATAAATCATAATATCTACCTCTTCGACTTTACGGTTAATTTGCATATGTTGACTGTTACTGTCCTACTGCAAATCCGACGTCTGAACTCCCTCCGAACTAGTTCAGTTTTAGCAGCCCGGTAATACCACTAGCTAGGCTTCTAGTAAACTATGTAACTCAAAGCTGACCAAATAAACCTGGACATGGCAAATGAGATTTTCCAACTGCGGTTTTTAAATAAACTAGCTGACGGACGCAAAAAAGACGCAGTGTATTAGGAAATAGCCAAATGTGTCTTAACAAAAGACAGTAAATAACTGCAGCTGAATAAGTAAAACAAACAAAAAATAAGCCATATCTATTCCAAGTAAAGGAATTTCACTGAAAGCAAACAGATGAAGAATAATGAAGCACAGCCAAAATTATAATCCATCTTGAAGAATTACATAATAATAAAATGTCAGGATATTTCATACAAATTTCATCTTAATAGATTACAATTTTAATTGAACCAGTTCAACTCGAACAGCTTTTTTGTATTCTTCCAAACCACCTGGTAATGAATATACACGACTTCCTTTAGCACTGTCAACAGGGCTTATGCCCATGCGTGTACACACCCATACTTCATTACATACAGCTTGAATTAGACGTTCGTCATGTGAAACAAGTACAACTCCACCGGGAAAATTAACCAAAGCATCAGATAAGCCTGCAATCGTTTCTACATCTAGATGATTTGTCGGTTCATCGAGAACAAGCATATTTGGACTAAAAATTGAAAGGACAGAAAATGAACTTCCTATGTAGGTCTGTAAATCTTTTTAAATAATAGGAAATGTACCAATATTCTACATAGCTAAATACAAGTGTACAAACAAGACCACGTTTACCTAGTTAATGGTTAACTGTACATGTAGGACAACCACATGATATCAATATATTCGTGATCGATAAACCTATCAAATTAGTCTAGCAAATGTAGGCATCAGTCAAAGTTGCGATCTCGTCATTAGTTCAAACAACAGTTGACTTTTGTTATTCCCCAGCTAGTTAATTAAAGATCAGTGAGAAATAATTCATTTCACCGTTTTTAATTTTATTTGCATAGGACGTACTTCCTACAAAACATTACTGCTTCAAACTAGCCAATTTCATTAAGGCAAGCCGTATTAAATTATTATTATTAATGTGTCTATGCATTTTAATAGACTACGGTCACTGTTGAGTAGTATAAGAATTTTGTTTCTAACCACTATGTACACCTAATAGGATTCAAACAATACTACTATTAGACTTGATACAATAGATGTTGCGCATCATTGTTAAATATGTTGGTTTGGGTGTGTTTATAACTTTGATCATTGATTTAAATTCATATCTAATAAGTCTTCCAACCACTACTAGTTGGATTGTTACGGTTGATAATGATAATAGCAGTAAACTTCTCACCTAAATTCAGAGTTTCATTACCTCCGATGGACAGACCATCTAATATTTTCTCAAACATTGTTCTTTATAAATCGATTCACCTCTATTTGAGGCATTTTTTTTGACTTGTTTTACTGATTGTTCTCAGCCCTTATGAACTTGAGAAATACGACAATTTGAAGTAAAACACTTTTGTGCAAGATTTGGTGTTTTCGTATCTGTCTCTTTCCTAGGTACAAAACGCAGTGACCTGCTGTGTTGCATTGTACAGTTGTAATACAATCACTGAAAATGAAGCTTAAGTAACTATCCATGTACTCACTAGAAATGACTAAAGAGAATGTTGCTTCAGTTAATGTGATAGATACTGGTACTGGGTAAAAATTTCACATGAGCTGTATAGGAGTAGAATGACGAACAGAAAATGTAAAAACTGTGTGGGTCAGTTTAACATAGTACAATCGATTAGTGAGTCATTATAATATAATTTTATGTGGTTACTAAAATAAAAATAAAAACTGTCATTAGTTGCCGTGACACTTACTTGGACATACACATAGCAACAAATGCAACTCTTGATTTTTGTCCTCCTGACAAACTACCGATTGGTTGAAGAGCAAGCATTTCCGTTATATTGAAATTCGCCAACTGGGAACGATAAACTTGTTCAGTCTGATTTGGGAACTTTCTCATCAAAAATTCTAAACTGCTTAATTTTAAATCCAGCTGGTCAACATGATGTTGGCTAAAGTAGCCAATACGTAAACTACGATGTGCGTGGCGTAATCCTGAAGTTGGTTCTAAATCACCTAAAAGAAGGCGAAGTAATGTCGTTTTACCTGCACCGTTCTCACCAACCTGAATAAGAAAACAGTTGACAAAGACCAATAAGAATAATCCACTAAATGAACTAACAATAAAAATTGAAGTAGAATAAAATCTAAGAAATCCATTAGTAACCCAAAAAGAAAGTGCTGGAAGATGAAAATAAGTTAAGTCTGTGTCGTTTAGGAATGAAATTAAAACCCACAATACTAGTTAATATTTGTTCATTGAATTCCAACCAGTGGTCTGCACTCACTTTGTCATTAACTTTTAATAGTCAAAAAGTTCATTTATTTGAGCAGTTGGGTGAGTGCTTGCAGTAGCAGGTCAGATAAAAATCAATTTACGTACAGTGAAAGCCAAAGTGGATTAAGCTAATCTGGGTTATCTTTGGAACCACCATCATGTTAGTTCGGTCGTAAAACGTCTGGTGTAAAAGGCATCGGTGAGAGCAGTTTTTTGTATGTCTGCAAAACCTAGTCTCTGCAAATCGAGAATGTTGGGCGACTTTGTGTTAGAACATTGTTGTCTTCGAAGGATTGCTGACATTTAGTGGTAACGCTATGTTAGTAAAGAGGAGGTTAGGCAATGTGTTAGGGCACGGTGACGATAAATCGATTGGAAGCACAATCTTGAAACACCATCCTCGGCAGCTCGAACATGTATCACGAATGTCATCCCAGCAGCTTTCGCGTCGTGCGTTATTTGCCAACTATGAGGCTGATTGGAAAAAGTGGAGAAATGGTCGGTTTATAGCATAGTGTTGTGGTATTAAAGAAAGCTTTAAAGGACAGGCATCTGTCAGTCCATGAAGACTCTCTTTGAGATTCTAGAGATAGTGTAACCCAATGATTTCAGACGTTACCAGACATGCCTCGGCTTACAATAGAAACCAGTGGCAATCCTGATTTAGTTTTCTGTTATATTTTGCATAAACGTTAGACAAATTTTCTTAACTGAAGGAATTCTTTAATTGTTATCTGTTTAACAGAACTGTCTTATCATATACTACCCTTGTTCATTTATAAATTGATTTTAATGGGATTTTCTCTTTTATTTCTTCATTATATTATCATTTCTTTTATGTGGTACATTTTCAGAACTATACCACACCAGAATTTATGTACTTCAAATAAATAAATACATTTAACCACAAGCTTTCAGGTTTAAGCCCCGCTTTACCTTGTTTAGTGATTTCGTGCAAACAGATGAAATCAATAATCCTTACATTTACAGTGCATCTCAAAACAGAGTATATATAAAGTAAACTGGATAAATGAATTATATTCATTAATTGGAAAATTTATTAGGAAATTTATAAATTAACGAACTGACACTCAAAAGATAATATTTACAGTTTTTAATCAACGAAGCTCGATGTGACTTATCTGACATGAAAAGTGAATATTTTAAACTATGGACATAGTCGCATTTTTGATATTGTTGATTGTTTGTAATTAGTATATTTATGTAAGCTATTTACTATCACTTTATTACCAGTTCCATGAAATTAGTAACCTTTATATATATATATATATATATATATATATATATATATATATATATATATATATATATATATATATATATATATATAATCATTTTTATTTAACCTAATAATTGTACAGTTTAATAACTTACAATGCTGATTCGTGAATCTGGTGAAATGCTCAAATTGACATGATTTAAAATTGGTTTGTCCAGTACATAATGAAAACAGACTTCATCAAGTTGTAACAATGGAGGAGAAAGTTTTTCACAATCAGGCAGTCGAATCACAACTTTCAATTCTTTTTCAGGAGGAATTAATGGTGGCAACTTTTCTAAATGCTTAATTCTACTTTGTACGAGGGATGCACGTTTTGCATTGTAACGAAATTTATCTATAAATTGCTAAGAATATAAATAATTATAATTACAATATAAGTGAATATCATTTGTCAAATGAAACAGGATTTATCAGCTAAATAATCAATCAACAAATAATTCTATTAACGCTCTCTAACCAAAGCATACTTTAGACTGAAATATTTTTAGATTACAGTCAAGCAGCATACGCAACTATAACCTCAGTGGGAATTACATTATGAAGATTTTAATTAACTACATACAACTAAACGTAACGAACGAAATAGAACATTAATAACTGAACTAAATAGTGCTTTGAACCTCAGTGTAGCTGCTATTCTGACATGGTGGTCGGCTTTGTCTAAAGTGATGACTCAACCGAGCTATATTGGCTGGAATACATGATCCTTTAGGTCCTATCATGCCAGACGGGTTGATTAGAGAACTGTAAGACTAAAAGCAGCAATTTAAGGTCCGAAGTACTGTTGACTGTAGAGTGACGTAACAGTTGACGATCGAATCCATCTCCTCTTAATAATCCACCTATCCTCACAACTAACCCTTCTCACTTATATCAATGTGACCTTCCAGTACATATACGGTTGTAATCAGCCTATGAAAAACCACGGAATACAATGAATTCATATTATTCTGACTCAATTATTGTTCTAACCTTTTAATTTGCCTTTGCTAATAATTTGAGTTCACGAAATGTTACTCCCTGTCTCCTGAAACCACGCTCAAAACTACATGTTGGAACTTTTGAGGTTTAAACATTGTGTCAGGTAGGATAACAATCTTCTTTAGATAGAACTCTAAATAGTCGCTTTTGTGTTGTTCGAATAAACGGGACAGAAAAAACCCGAAAAGATAGGAACACGCCACGTTGCCTTTTCGTGATCTCTCCCTACGCTCCCACAGATTGTAACACGGAAGTTAAAGATGAGTTTTATAGGAAGCTATCTAGCCTCCTTCGAAAAGCTAAACGCTCTGACGTAGTAACAGTGCTACGTGGTTTTAGTGCGCAAGTAGATAAACTAAACCAAAACGAAAGGCCCTTAGGAGGATATCTTATGGTGTTGCGGCTCAGCCAACACATAATCGTGACCGTCTGTTTCAACTATCCTCAGATAACCATCTATTTCTGGCAAATACCAACTTTAAAAACACAAGGAGAGGCACAGTTTGATATGGTGACCACAGTTGACACATAAATGGACCCAAATAGATCCCATTGTCACTAGCCATCATCGGAGCGGCCCGATTGAAAACTGTCGCTCGTTCTAGAAAGGGAGCTAGCCAACAGCAAAAATGAAACCCACTCCGAAGTAGCTTGGTATGATATCCAAAAATCCTACTAGTAACTGAAACCAATAGGTTAGGAAAAACCAGTGGATTTCAGCAGCAGCGATAGGTAACAGTACACAACTGTTCATACTTATCAAGGAAACAAGTATTAAAAACCCAGCTGTTAATGAAACTATCTCGGAAAAAGACAGGACTACTACTCACTCACAATCAATGTAATTGAACCGATGGGCAAAACACCCTAGGGAATAGTTCAACTGTCCTTCAGCCACACTTCAGTTATCTCCAAGCAACCCGAATGAGGAATTGAAGTAATCTAAAGCCAGGGAGGGCAGCGGGACCTGACAGATTAACCTCTGAGATTTTTAAGGGTGGTGGTCCAGTTTTAGCAGTTAAATTGTCTGAGATCTTAGCTAGGATCTGGAAACTGGACATAATCCCATCTGACTGGTTTCCATAGCTGATCGTTCCAGTCTATGAGAAATAATTAAAATCCTCTTGTGACAATCGAAGAGGAAGTAGTTTAACTTATATAGTGTCTAAAATATTGGCCTCAATAAAACTTCCTCATATGTGAGCGAGGGAAATAATGATTGGTTGTTTGCTTGGTCAGACTAGTAGATAGTCTGACATGTATTAGGAGAGTTATATATTTCCCTACTCTTATTATTATTGTGACTGTTGTCGGTTTTAGGAGTGGAAACATACTTACGTTCCAGTCAAGCTAGACACGTGTTCTCAACCTGAGTTGTGTTGACGTCCTGTAGAATAGACACTGGGAGAGTACCTAGTGTAGATATTCGTCTAAGGTGAATTTAAGTCCAATTCGTGTAGATGGAGAAAACCGAGAGTTATAACACTTCGACGTACAACTAGAGCGCGTAAAGAGCAAATCCGAGAAAATCAGACTGCTTTCAGACCTGGACGCGGATGTATAGACCAAATATTCACTCTTCACCAAGTTCTGAAACAAAGTGCTTTTTGACTCACGATAATAGTTGTTTTTCTTGCTCTTAAGGAGGCGTTCGACTCTATTGGTCGTGCGGTTTTGTAGCGGTATGTTATTGAAAGGTGTACTAAAGAAGTTCATCAACCTTGTAGAGGCACTCTAATCGAACACTAACGGTCGAGTCAGAGCTTATAGTGAACCTTTATCGGAATTAATTACCTCAAGTGGTGTTTATCAGAGTTGACCACCTAACTCATTCTCGTTTAACTATATCATAGACATGGTTTTAAATGACACGCTTACATCATCTGACTGTCAGGTGTCGATCTTATATCAGAAGGTTTAGTTGTTGATGATATAGTTTTGTCTGGTGAAGACGCCGACAAAATAGTCTTTTGACAACCTTAATCAGCAATGTATGCATTTTTGGGATGTAGTTCTACCCCTCCAAATGTAAAATGCAACTTCAGGATTGAGTTGCCTCACTTGTCTTGGAAGTCCCATCAGTACTGATGGTCTGATGTCTGACGAAATCTCATCACGGATTCAGAGGGCTCGATTGGTTTTTGCCGACTTGCGTTACTTGTGGTGTAGGTGAGACATCCCTCTTCCAACCAAAATGAAAGTTCACAGTGTAGCAGTTCGCTCCATTCTACTTTATGGGTGTGAAACAAGGCCATTAAGAATAGAGGATGTTCGTAGGTTACCAGTATTCCATCATTTATTTGTTTGTTTAAACACATAAACGTTGGTACAAGGAGGTGCCAAATGTATTTGCGCCACACTCCATCATTCGATTTGTGTGAGAGTTGGAATACTGCCCGGACGTGTCTTTGAAGCATCGATCGTGCATTCTGGGATCATGAAGTGGTAAATGTCTGGGTCAGGAATAGGATGCTAGGTAAGGATGGCAAATCGATTGAAGAGGTAGCAAATCTTCATCAACTGAGGTGCTTGAGACATATGTTAGTATGTCCAAGCACTGTCTAGCTTGACGCGCGATTGTGTGGTACAGGAGTAGGCTGGAAGAAAGCTAGGGGCGGCCAGACCAAAACATGGCATCAGTTCATGAAATTAATGACAATTTGATTTGAACATGTTAATAAATGTAGACTACCTGGTTGAGATCGGCGTAACCTTGAATGACATGGCTCAAAATCGTTTGTAATGGGACAGATAAATTCGTTCTTCGTCTTCCCTCAAACTCTTAGATTCTAAATTCCTCATAACCTTTATTTTATTTCGCTAATTTATATTTTCTCCTCGAGTCATATCTTCGATGCCTAATCTTTTCTATTACCACTGAAAATGTTACTGCTTCTACCATTCTGAGATTTAACTTGACAATTTCATTTTTCTGTGCTAATGAAACATGGCAACTCGAACCTATATTCGTACGTACCAGGTTCTACGTTGCGATGGTCATCCACAAATGAAGAATATCTTCCTCATCTTTTCACTTAGCCCTTGAAATTCCAGTGGAAGAACTTATATCTTGAGTAGAATTATTTATTAGACTCACCAAAGAACATAGATCAGATTTACAGTTATTTGTATATAAGCATATTTACAGTATTTTTAGAAATAAGGTGGTAAAACGGTGTACTAAAACAAACGAAACAACCAAAGAGCTTTTTTAACTCGAACTGATATACATACGCACAGATTCTACGTTGTGACTGACTGGCTGACTAACTAAACTCATTTTACTGATTTATTGTAGTTTGCAGATTACCTCTCTTAATGAGATAAAGTAATGTGACATTACGAATTTACCAAATACATAGATACAAACTTGATTTCATATGTTACATTATAAACTAAACAGTTCCGTATGAAAAACAAACGGGTAAACTTATTTTATTCGCTAAAAATATGTGAAATGGTAAGAAACAAACTATTTAGTAACATGAATACATTTTCGTTTAAATAATGAATTAACTCACTTGTATATGCTCTCTTTCAGCTTTCAATGACTCGTACTCCCTTTGTTGATTTAGCAATCTTTCAGAACGAGCTTGCTCAAAAGCATCATAATTCCCTCGGTATGCATCCAAACGCTTGCAATTCAAGTGAATAATATCAGTTGCAACTGTATTTAAAAAACTTCGATCGTGTGAGACAATCAAAAGGATGTTGGATGAGGACTATAAACAATCAAGTGTAAGCAAAATGAAAAATACAGTGAAATTAAACATCTAAAAAAGCAAAACAGTCAATTCTAAACTTGCAGATCACATTACAAAAGCCTAACCATGTACTGAGAATAGAAAATGTTCACATCAAACATATTTGCCCCCAAATGCCCTGGTACGGCCGAGGGTAGGAAGAGTCAGCTCACCCTCTCGACATGCTCTCACATGACCACGCGTATACAGCCACTGTCAGGGAAGTCTTACTCACTGCTTATTATTATTATTATTATTATTATTATTATTATTATTATTATTTAAACACATAAACGTCGGTACAAGGAAGCACCAAATATACATGCGCCACACAAATCATTCGATTTGTATGAAGGCTGTGATACTGCCCTATATATATATATATATATATATATATATATATATATATATATATATATATATATATATATATATATATATATATATATATATATATATATATATAGGGCTTTCCTGTACCAATGTTTGTTTTTAAATAAATAAAATAACCATCAAACATTTAGATACTGCAATGAAACAAACGGATGACTTAAAGAGTTTGATAAGATTAGGACAAAAGGTGATGAATAGTAAATAACAGGATAAACTATAGTGTTGAGGTTAATGTCCTCAAAACACAATAGTACAGTTGGAGATGAAGATAGTGCATACACCTTGAAAAAAAACTAATATAACCCATTACTTATCAACTTCAGGACTTATTGGAAAAAACAGGCAATCAGTCCATAAAATAATTGTGCGTTAGTAATAAAAAGCAAAGCTGGGATATATACCTTCCAATCCAAGTTTATAATTAACATCAACACAAAGAGATTGACAAAATGAAAAAAAATCTTTTAATACAGCGAAAAAGTGTGCAAATTATGAGATAATATTAGGCTTGAAATTTAGGAGATAAATAATGAATGCATCTGTGTCCGTTGATGCATCAGGATACTCTTGACGCAACCTAAAGATTTTTCAATTCGGTGACTTCAGACTACATTAAACGGGTTAAATAGAATCCTCCCTAAATTTTCTATATGATTTCCCTATAAATAAAGATTCACCTCCAATAACTGAAAAAAAATAGTTCTCACATTTATTGAACTAAACTTTCTGAAACATTTTGTTGTTTTTTTATAACACGAATCTCTGCCTATTTCTTTAAAACGGTCGTTTCACCTCGTATAGTCCATTACTTTATCCCCGATTTTACCGAACCAAAGTTCGAATAGAACAGATGCCTTTAAATCTTCGAACTTAGATTACGTCTCCCACATGCTGATGACAATAAACATAATCTGCTCTGGGCCCCAAATGCCTTGGTATGGCCGAGAGCGGGATGGGCCTGTCCTCCCTCTAGAAATGCTCTCACACGGCCATGCGTATACAGCCACTGCCAGGGAAGTCCTACTCACTGCCTTCTCGTGGCGAGGGTGTTGTTTACAAAAATGAGAGGACGAACAGCGAATATCCGGCGCTTTAGCCGGATCCCAAACCAATGGTGCACATGGGCTTCAGTATCCTGAGGGAACAAATGGCGTACGAACCAATTCCTTGGTCACCGGCTACCATGGGACAGTATCTCCTCACGATGCTCCACTGCCTTGTGGGTCAGACCTTTAGGTCAAAGGCTCGGGGTGTGGCCCCCTAAGATAACCACCTGTTTCGGCCTGGGCACCCGGGCAGTATCACAGCCAACACACAAATATGATGAAATGTCGATGTTTATGGAAAATACTTGTCTTGCTTCGATTAACAATCAAACAATTCACATTATATTATTGGTAGTATTATTGTTGTTGTTATCATTTTTTACGTCATTTATTCACTCTTTTATTCCCACTTTATGTATCCTTATCTTTCGACTTATACAGCAGCTCGCCTATGGTTGAAACTCGGTTCTATCTAAACGTCCTTGAGTCACTGCCTGGTTGAAAATTGTATGCTACCACCAAATACGAATACTAAAGCAGTTTTCCTGAAGCCATGTGTACCATTTAAACTGGCTGCCTTCAACGTTCGCACACTTATGCAGGTCGGACAACAGATAGGGCTGGCTATGTCTTTAGAAAGTCTTAATATTGATGTTTGTTGTCTATCTGAGACCCGTATTCAAGACTCTGGTGAAGTACTACAAATTCGCTCTCCATCTGTCGCTTCGAAAGGCTTGTTTTACGTGCGCTTATCCATGGACCCTGTGGCATCTTCGTCTGGTCTCGCTGGCGTTGCTGTCGCACTAAGCGCTAGAGCTGAGGCAGCACTAATCGATTGGATCCCCATTAACAGTCGGTTATGTGTTGTTAGATTAGAGAGTTCCATCAAAGTGAGAAGAAATCGACGTGAGAAACGATGTCTTTTCATCTCCGCCTACGCTCCGACAGATTGCAGCCCGGATGCAATCAAGGATGAGTTTTACCATCAGTTATCTGTTCTTCTCCAGAAAGTGTGTTCGACAGATATTGTAGTACTAGCCGGAGACTTGAATGCTCAGGTCGGGCGTCTAGGCACAGAAGAGAGTCGATTAGGTGGTCGGTGGGGACTTGTTGGTCGCAGGACAGATAACGGGGACTGTCTACTGCAACTGTGCACAGACCACAACCTGTTTCTGGCTAGCACTAACTTTCGGCACAGTCATCGCCGATGTGCCACCTGGCGTCCTCCCTCTGCATCTCAATCCTGGACTCAGATTGATCACATCGCGATCAGCTACCGCTGGCGTGGTTGTGTACAAGACTGCCGCTCCTTCTGGAGTACCTATCTGGACTCTGATCATGCCCTGGTCTGCGCCAATCTTACCTTACTTTTCAGTGGACAACAAAGTGACCGCTATCAACGGATTGATATTAGCAAGCTGGTTGCAACTTCTGTTGCAAGTAAGTATCGAACCAAGCTAGCCTCTAGGCTACCATGGGACGATACGCCATCGCCTTGTGGGTTAGACCATTCGGTCAGAGGCTCGGGGTGTGGCCCCCTAAGATAACGACCTACCTCGGTTGGAGCACCCGGGCAGCATCGCAGCTCACACACAATTAATGAACTGAACTGTCTATGATCATGGAAACTAATTCTCTTGCTTCGACAAACATTCAAATGATTCAATTATTATTATTGCTATTATTATTGTTATTATTTACTACGTCATTATTCACTCTCCTTTATTCCCACTCTGTTTATACTTATTTTTTCGACTTATACAGCAGCTCGTCTATGGTGGACAAAACAATCTGCGAGGATGACGGGATGCCAATCACTAACATCCATCGACGTCTTGGACGATGGGCAGAATTTTTCGAAGGGCAGTTCAACTGGCCTGCTGCTCCGGCAACATCGGTCAGACTGTCCTGCCCTCCATGGCCGGTGACGACTGATCCACCAAATGAGGAGGAAGTCCGCAAGGAACTCCAACTCTTGAAGCGTTACAAATCACCTGGCCCAGATGACTTACCTCCGGCTCTTTTTAACGATCGTGGTGACTTTTTGACTAAGGAATTGACGACGTTGTTTACAAAGGTTTGGGAGCTAGAGAGTGTACCAACGTCATGGAATGAGTCGATAGTTGTCCCTATCTTTAAAAAGGGTTCACGTTGTTCCTGCAACAACTATCGGGGGATAAGTCTACTTCCGATTGCGTCCAAGCTATTGGCTTCCATCATACTTCGTAGGTTGTTCAAAACCCGAGAAAGATTGACTCGCGAGGAGCAGGCTGGGTTTCGTTCCGGTCGAGGATGTATTGATCATATCTCCACCCTCCGCCAAATGTTAGAACACCGTCATACTTATCAAAGGCCAACAATCGTAGTATTTCTTGACATTAGGGCCGCCTTCGATTCGTTGGACAGGACTGTTCACTGGGATTGTCTATTGAAGAAGGGTGTGCCCAAGCCATGCAATCCGCACTTAATCAGTTGGCAATCAATGTCCGTAGGTACGGTATGTGCTTTGCACCTTCGAAGTGCAAAGTACTTCTACAAGACTGGCAGGATTCTAACCCTGTACTCACCCTGGGTGGTGAGCAGATAGAAGTAGTCAAGAAGTTCGTGTGTCTAGGTAGCTGCATAAGTGCTAGTGGTGGCGTGAGTGATGAGATCAATGCAAGTCTAGTGAAAGCCAGAGCGGCTTGTGCCAATCTGAGCCACCTTTGGCGCCTTCGCGATGTCAGTTTGGCTGTAAAAGGTCGGATCTACAACGCGTCGGTAAGAGCAGTTTTGCTCTATACTTGTGAAACCTGGCCTCTCCGAGTTGAGGATGTTAGACGATTCTCTGTGTTTGAGCATCGTTGGCTCCGAAGGACTGCTGACATTCAGTGGCAACACCATATCAGTAATGCAGAGGTTTGGCATCGTGTGTTCGGGCACAGAGACGACAATTCAATTAGTGTCACTATCTTGGAATGCTGACTTCGGTGGCTTGGATAGGTACTAAGAATATATGCCTATGGAGTTCCACATCGTGCATTATTTGCTAACGCTGGGACTGGTTGGAAAAAGCGGAGAGTTGGTCAGTGTATGACATGGTGTCGTGGTATGAAAGAAAGTTGCAAAGGACTGGCTTGTGTCGGTCCTTCATGACTTTCTGGCTGGGGTCCTAGAGATGGTGCGACACAGTGGCTAGAGACGTTGTCAGATATGGTTTAGAATATAAGTCAGTGGCGACCCTGCTGTAACCTTCTTTTACTTTCTTCATAAAAAATGGTTGTTTCTTCCTTAACTGAAAGATTTTTTCTGATTGTACTTTTCCGTTTCCCCCATTATTACTATTATTATTATTACTCTACCTTAAACTAATCTGTTCGTTATTGGGTTTTTTTTACGCTCCTTACCTTCTTTTTTTCTCCTCGAATTCTCATTGTTTCGTGTGGTGCATATATATTTGGTGCCCTCTTGTACCAATATTTATGTGTTCAAATAAATATAATAAATAAAATAATAATCTGCTATGAACAACCGATCAACTTGCAGTCATATGATAAACTCACGTTGGGTAACAACTATCTGTAAATCAAGTAGCACTAGCTACCTCTTCGATATTTACGAAAAATCTTATGATATTCATAGTATAAGTTCCTTAATTACCTTTTACCCAATGGGTTACCAAGCAAGGTGGCTGGGCGTTCGTAACTTATCCCCCAACTATCGTCTACTTAATTAATTAGAAAAGGACGGCCAAACCGGAACGCGAAGTTATTAACTATTTGATTTAGTGATGTACAGAATGTACTGTATTTATCGGTTAGGAGCCTTACGTGACACGACTTAAAACTTGTCGCTGTATAATAGATTCATTATCTATCTTCCCCTAAATCTTGATTTTCAATGTTATTTCATAATACGTTAAAGTAAACTTAAAAAGCAAACTAAATACTGAGAAATGTTACCTGCAAGTAGTCTTCTAACCAAATTATTGCGCGCATATCAAGCATATTGGTAGGTTCATCCAGCAAAAGTAGGTCTGGTTTCGCAAAAAGTGCTTGTGCTAAAGCTAAACGCATACGCCACCCGCCAGAAAATTCTTTTGTGGGCTTACTCTATAAAATAAAATGAGAATGAACGAGTGAAATATCTTTACTATTAAACAAATATTATAAACATTTACCAAGTAATTTATATATTTCGACCACAACAAAAGCTTTTTGAACTGGGGTTCTGTGATATAACTCAACTTGGTCAACATAGTTCTCAGAACCCTAAACTGTATTATAACTGGTACTTAATTCAATACCGGAAAGCCAGACAATTCCTATACATTACTCAGGATGTACGGATCAGACCTTTATTTGTATCAAATCCCGAGATATACTCATCTTAGTCTAAAGGTCAGTTAGACAGCTACAACGTAGGACCAGGCACATATATGCATCGATCCAAGTTGCCAAAAAGTGGAAATCAGCTACCACGGCAAACTGATTTTTGAAATGTAGACTACAGATTATTCATAGATATGATAGCTAGTTATTATAACTGAGTATTAACACCATCAAATAATTATAATGGGACTTAGAAATCATGTACAGGTTTATATATAGTGGATTATATTTTAATGTTTATTTTTCCGAATTTTAACCTACTTCCTATGTTGAAAAAAATTGATTCAAGCCTTTACTGTTCTTATCATAACTAGTACACCTGTTATTGTAATTTTGATTCGTAGTTTTTACGTATTACATTTAGTTACATATAATCTATTTCATTGTTATCATTAACTCAAACTGCCTCGATTAGTTCAATAGCTTTATATATCTATATAATATTACTGTATATTAAAGTAGAGCTTGATGAAGATCTAACTGAAAACAATAATATTCGCCTATATATCCTTTTGATGTAAAATTGAATAATGTGATATTAACTAACCTGCATTTCCGGACTGAAGCCAAGACCATGCAAAACGACAGCAGCTCGAGCTGGAGCCTTATCTGCTTCGATTGCATTTAAGCGAGAATAAATCTCTGCAACCCGAGATTCTATTGTACTTGTGCTACTAGATAAACCTTGATCCGTGCCAGAATTTTTTTTCATTTCAGCCTGAAGGCGAGCCAATTCAATAAGGAGGGTGTGTCTTTCTATATCGGCTTGAAGAACGCTTTCCAAAGCAGGCGTGGAATCACCAACAACTTCTTGTTCTACATGTACTACGCGGACACCAGGTGGTAGGCGCAAATCTCCCCTGAATGTTTTTAGTCAGAAATATGAAAATTTAACTATTAATTGCACTAAGTAGTTATTAAAACTATGGGGATTGTAAAAAGATAATATACATAGCAAATGACATACCACTTACCTCGATGTTAGAATCTAAATCCATACGTAGCTGTAATTCTCTTAGTACAGGAGAGATGGTAAGTATTTGTACTTTTATCAAAAACGATTATTCATCTACACAATTTCACGGGCTTTCTTCCAAAGCACGAGATAACATTCACAAAATGAAGCTTATCACTCCTAATAAACTCTCAAATGGATACTTACAGTCTATACAAATCGATCTAAGAATTTTTACAGTGAGGTGAAAAACGCAATTAATATAAGCTGATAGGAAGTACTTAAAAGAATGAGCTTATGTCCTGCAACTGAACTTAGAAAGTTTCCCTAACAAACAGACCAGATCAAAGGTTGGGAACGAGAACTAAACACTTGTACACATCAAAAACATAATAAGAAAAACACTAATTTTGTTATCAATGAACACTGTCAATATATTCTAATTAATCTTTCATACATTAACAATTAACAAAAGAATCATACAAAAAATGTCATCACTAAAAATTGTCCAAATATTATATATGATCTGTGGTTTTTCAAGTGGAATAATGGTGTTTTGTAATTAGCCTCCCTAATGATATATATCTTGATATTGATAAGCGATTATTTCCTGAAACACAAACTACTATTCCTGGTAGACAACTAATAACTTTGTTTTCCCTTTAATGTAGTCCCATCTAACTGGGGAGATAAAGTGACTATTGACTAACAGTTTAATTAAATCAACCACAGAGATGACAGATGAACATGTCACGTACAATACACTTAAGATACCTATAGATAGAGCGACATAAAACAGACAAACAAATAAGTACATAACACCACCATAAGTGGATTTATATAAAGTAAATTACCAAGAAGTAAACTAAATAAGTAATTCTTAGAGAATCTGGAGTACCAGAATACATATAAACCACCGTCAGCTGTGATAGTAATGAAATCAAAACAGTATATGTGCGCAGCACAAAACGCCATTTTTATCCAAAAAAAAACGGAATTGTTATTGATCTTTAGATAGATTCGAAACGGCACAAGGACTATTTGGAGATACGTAGACTTGAGAATAACTTCGTCTCGAACCCTTCTGTACTCAGTGTCGGTCTCCTAACGTGGGTACAGAAAGAAGGTTGGTCATAGGGATAGCAACTCTAGCTGGAAAATCGCTAACCAGAGAAAACCAATAGGTCTGAAGACGAATTTTTTATCATAACAAAATAATCTTAGAAATAAAATATAATCAAAACAAGGATACGTAGTGAGCATGAATCTGTATCAAACAAATAGATAACAGAACAAAACGTATGATCTAGGGAACTCGCAGAACAGAAACAATCTATCTATTCATCCTTCTATATTTCAAAACAGTATTTTCTTTTTTTAACAAAGTGACTCATCCCTCTCTAGTTTTAGTCAGTATTAACATATCAGTCAGTCAGCTACAACGTAGGACCAGGCACATATGTGCATCGGTTCAAGTTGCCACACCTCAATAGCACAAGATGAACAATGGATTCATAGAAGTAGTTAATTGAGTGGTGGTAATATATAAAAGAAAGGTTGCATATAAGGATACAGTACAGGAAGAAAGAATTGGTTTGTAGAAAGAAAGATATGAAACAATTTTAATCTCTTAGTTTAAGGGAAGACAAAGAGTGTATACACCGACGCCATTGTGATCGATTTTGAGCCATGTCACCCACAGTCTCCAACCATCGGTTACGATAGTTACGCGAACCCCAACCAAGTAGTCTGCATCAACCAACACGGCTCAGATTAGAAGTTAGTGACTTCAAGTACTGATGCCACGTTTTGGTTTGGCCACCCCTAACTTTCTTCAACCATCCCCAACACTAGTCAGCATTGCGCGTTGTGGCAATCGGTGTCTAGGCATAGGTAACACGTGGCTCAACCATCTCAGTCGACGAAGATTCACAACCGCACCAACTAATTCAACATCATTCCCTAGTACCCTGAGTCTAACCTCACTATTGCATACCCGGTGATCCCAGCAGATGCGAGCAATATTTCTAAGACATCTGTGATCAAATACTAGTGGCTTACGAATATCTTCTACTCTTAATGACCACGTTTCGCAACCGCGCAGTATACTCGTCCCTTAATTGATGGACCGATATCTCGCCTTCGCCATAGGTGACGTAAGTTGGCAAAAGCCAAACGAGCTTTTCGAATCCGTGCTGAGATTTCGTCAGACACCAACCCATTACGGCTGATCAGAAAGTAAGTCACTAAATTTAAATTGACCCACCAACTTTCCTGACTACTACATGAACTGAAGTAAAATTGATGTCTTTATAATGACAACAATTCAACTTGATTAAACCTCTGATCATAATTTTACCAAGTACCACTGGAAACTAGATATGAAAAATAGACAGTAATTTCACCATAAACTTGAACGTTGTGAATTGTTGAAATTCAAATCCAAAACACAACAAATAAACTACATTGGAAAAGTGAAGAAAAACTAACACCTACTTGGCTAACGATCGAAGCAAAGTTGTTTTACCGAAACCATTTCGTCCCACTAAACCATACCTCTTACCGTACGTGAGAGACAGATTGGCACCTTGTAAGAGAACTCTGAAAATAAATATGAAGGATATAATAATCTTCAAAAAGGCAGGAGAGATATAAAAAACAAGTAGTATGCATGATTATAAAAATCTAAGCTTGCATTTTTTTTAAGGTATAGTTTAAGTTACCGTGATTCAGGAAGTGCTGCATCAAATAGTTGACTGTACTTTAGACATTTTATGATCTCATTTACCTACAGAAAAAAAATCCCAAATTCAGGAGGAATTATGAATAACTCACCTACCACATACTGATCTATGTACTCAGCTTTAAGTCACACCGTTTTTGGGGACAGCTGTTGTTAGCCGGTTGTCTAACTCGACGTAGATAATGCTGGGTACTAAACGGTGACGCATAAGTTGAAAGCTGAGTGATTAAACGATCAGTATGTCATTCCACAGAGAAATTAAATACGTTAACCAAAGCAGGAGAATTTTCGACTTGCATGTCGCAGCTAAACTGCGAATATTTATTTGTCAATCCCACCACGATGACAATCATTTAGAAGAGAACCGTTAGCTATTGGCTTGTTAGCTACAGCAAAATTATTTCATCCAATTGATCCCCTTGGTAGATTTGAACGATGTAGGGAACACTTATTGCCTAGTGTGCTAAAATACTCTGCTTTACTCTAAACTATAGATTTTTGTCAATATAACCCGAAAAATTGAGTCATGTTTGAGTTGACTTTGAGAGAATTGGATCAGAAAATACATGGATTATTAACCCATAAAATCCTTTAACTAACGAAAATGTGGTTCTTTTATAAAGTATTGTACGCCGGAAATATTTATAGATGACTTATCTAACATGATTGACTAGAAAGTCTCTATCTCCCTATAGGGTTTAGACCAATAATTAATGGCTTCAGTGACTGATATTATGATTCAACTCAGTTCTCTCAACTTGCCTCTACGGCAATCAGTATGGTACACCACACGGTCGTATAAAAACGTTCGTTAAAAGTTTTCTCCAGTGAATGGCCATCCCCTGAAGTTAAAGAGTTGGAATACATTCATTTTCTGTTTGCATACCTGACTCAACGAAGGTTTTAGACTTTTTACAACCCAGAAACAATAAACTAAATGAATGTGTTTTGAATAGTCTATGTATCACAGAATAAATGGAATCCACTAAATGTTGGTAAGCTTATAATGACATATCTACACTGTGACCATTATTGTCCTTTAGAAAATCCACTGAAGTTTTGATATAAAAGTTAAAGTTAGAGAGTAATATAATAGTCCTTGTAGATTTTGGTTAAAGAACAAATTTATCATTTACATTTTTGTGCGGTCTTAAAAATCGAATCAGTTATAAGCCGCGTGAAAAGCCAGTAATATCAAAAGTTAAGTCATATGATGGTCCGTGATGCATACAACAGAATCCAAGCATTAGAGTCAAGACACGAAGGTTCTTAACCGAGTATAAAAGATAATATGAAAGAAAATAGAATTAATTTACGTTGAAACGTTAGGGTTAATAAACGAAAATTAATATTGAATAAAGTGACAAAACGAGAATAAGTAATTAAGTAATATGAGCATTTACAGTTTCAATACCAAGAAAGCGACACTAGGGTATGGTAGAACCACTGAATGAGTGATATTGATACTAAGTATGAATTCTTAGTCTGGAGTGTCGCACTAGCTGAATGAGTCAAAGCTCATTAGCAGTTGCAGTGATGGAGAAGCATTAGTTTCTCTTTTAATGTTAAACGTATTGTTTTATTGTTGGGTACGCGTAGTCTGCAAGTAGAGTGCACAAAGAATAAAATCAACCTTATTTTTGTTTATCGGTTTAAAGTGACTTTCCGCCAGTCAACTTCAACGCATTTTGGTGTGCAAACTACTTAATAATTTCTATTTATCAACTATTAGTAGTCCAGTTATAAGTCGTCGCCTAATTTTTCAGTATATTTTTCACCGAGATTTGTGTTCAGTGACAATTACTCAGCCCATAAATTATAATCACTTTGGTTAGTATATAACTGACCAACTTGAAAGTAGAAGATAATTCTTCCGAGGTCCTCGACGATGCATCTTCCTTAAAACTTCCTGTCTGTCTTTCCACAGCACATAGAGTCACTTCTGGAGTGCACTAATTGCTTGGTCTACTCAGTTAGCACAGATCATGTTCTGTATTAAAATTCCGCGAGTTCATAATCGGAAATACAAAGAACAATATTGATTTGAAGAACCTGCCCTTAATTTCTTGTTTAACGCAACATTATTGATACTTCCTCATTATTTTCATAATTCCACTAGTTCCCTACTCCCTCTCTAGCTAATACATTTAGCTATATTGCTTTAAAGTGAAGCAACGGATGACTCCGGCCACATAACACGTAGTTTTTGACCAGTTTATTTGTGCACACTGGTGACTGAGTTGTCAGTAATTGGAAGGGTGGAGGAACACTTTGACAGTTTCAATATGATCGCAGTACTAGTTGTTCGTACTTATACTACTTCGTGAGTTTTTCATTGTGTTGATAAATATTAACGTTCAGTTCTAATCTAAACAGATTATTTCAGTGAGTTTTCTATACATAAATATCAAGGTTTTATATTTTAAATTCTTTAAAAAATATACCTGCTACCATAAGCAATGTCAAAATTTTCCAAACGAATATCCCCTACGTGAGACACTACATGTGAAGATGAGGCTAGTTCCCGTCGGTCAGTCTGTTGACAAACTGTAGCACGTTCATCCTCCTTGACCTCGATGGCTCTTCTAAGTGAAATTTAGTTACGAAGTATGACTAACCCTGCATTGCCAGGTCTTCCGATAATGGCTTTCTTTAACTGCTTTTCTTTAATTTTAGCCTCAGCCTTTTCTAATTTTTTAAGATCGACGACAGTGCTGCTTTGTTTTTTCATCATCCAAATACTAGAATTATCAACCACTCTTTCACTGAATGTATCCAGTAAACTTGCCATCTGTACTGGAGCATCTAAAGTAATTTGCTTTTCAACAAATCCGTCAGACCTGTGCCATCAATGTTAAACTAAAACAACCTACGGCCTCATCAGTTGATAAATCTTTTTGCATAAGATTTTTATTTCTTGATCATTATCTTGACGGTGAAACCCATCCAAAACTCCACCGATTGCGTCATGCACATCGCCCTCAGAGTCAAAATGCTCAGCATTTTCAGTAAGAATACCTGAAATAAACATTCACAAAAGAAACGCTTTTTACTTTCTATGTAGCTAGAGATATCGTCATCCAAACTAGGAAATGTCTCTTTGAACAAAGTTACAGCTACAGATATCGCTCCAGATTCCATGGAGTAACGCACTAGACAAACGTTCCGCTGGATCACAGACTTTTATCAGTTAATAGTCCTTATCTTGAAACCTCAGCTTTAAAAAAATAAATAACTGATCTTAAATTTTCGTGACACTAGTTCTAAATAATATTTCTTATCTTCATTCGAAAGATTTAGTCTGTTGAGTGAGCGAAATAGCACCCAAATTATTCATCAAGCTAAGCGTATGCCTTACTTGGAGGGGTAAATTGTGAAGGATACAAAATGGTTACTCCGGACAGCTAAACCGTGGGCATGATCCAAGTCATTTTTTCTTCCTCATGTTATAGTTGTTTTCTATTCGTGAATAACGACGGTGTATATGTTTTAAGATTATATCTATTCCCTAAGTGTTCACTGGAGATAGGTCAACATGTTTAAAACGTTAGAATGAATAGGCATTGGGGTCATTGCATAGTGAATTATATCTCCTTCCATCACTAACTAGCTGACTTTTGTCGACATTGATCTGAACATTACATACTTTACGCCTCACGATAGCAAACACATTGAATGAAGCTCGGATATTCATGGCTTAGCAATGTCTTCTAAGAATTCGCTGCCAAAATTTCTATACCCATGTTCATTGGCTTGAAAAAGTACTGAGGAAAGTGTTAAACCTTAAAAGGCGCTGCCGAGTGAGGTGCATCGAAGGAGACAATAATAGGTGTTTTCGAGTCGCGATGTGCGAGCATAACTGATTTAAGAATGCTTGATAGTTTCGGTTGGGGTCTCTACAGGTCAGAATAATTGGCAAGGATCGCTTTGAAGCACGAATCAGTTGCATAAGTGGTTTCAGAATGGTTTCCTTATATGCAGAGGATGATACCTATGATTTGTTGACCGAGTCGATAATTTTTACATCTGCATGACGTTGATCTGTCAATGTTTTCATGTGAAACGCGCAATTCAGTTTCAACTGTCAATAGAAACTCGCCAGCCCATTGATAATGGGGCCGAGTGGGCCTGTGGAATTGTGGTTTGGTTTGCTATTAGTACTGTGATAATTCTAGACCTAATCCTAAATGCGTAGATTGGTCATAATGTGACTACCTAATCTACAAGATCTTACGTAGAAGTCCCATTATTATCTGCACTGACTCGTCGTGTCAGCAATATACTGTCTATTATTTTTAAAGAACTCATTTGGGCTGAAGATAGAACGATATATTTAATGAGAATAAAGACAAGTTATACAGAATGACCACGTCTGCGAGGCTGAACCATGCCATCCGATTGAATGAATGTTCCCGCGTTCACCATTGTTGACCTTCCTTTTGTATTGATTGCTGAATATGAAATCTCTCAGTAAATATTTGTTTGGCCTCAAGAATTGTGTGGTTAGAATCCAATACCACTACAGACCCATGCGAAGGTAAAGGTGCCTTTTGCTGTATGTGGCGATCTGTTTCCCGTCTGCTACCAGTGAGTCGGAGACTCTCTAGACGATCATTAGTATTTGCGAGAAGTTGATGCTTTCGTCACTGCAAGGAGTTGCGCAAGTGAGTCTATCACGACTTCCTCGTGGAAATCAGCCTCTGGTTCACAGAACCAGCCTGCAATATTGGCTAGGTAGGGTGGGATGAGTTGAAAATTGGGGACATAAGAGTCTCACGCCTAGTTTAAATCTAAATACTATAGAAAAAGTATCACATGTGGAGTTTCAATGGGCAGGGCTTTGTTGGAGATCACTCCCAGAATTAGAAACACGCATAGTTATAACAAATGAAGTTTTTTCTTTCGAAAAATCTGTAAAATTATGATCTACTTCGATATTAGTACTGTTCTAATAATAGGCCCAATTCTAAAATTGTAGATTTCTCATGGTATATCTGCCCAATATATAAGATCTTACGTCGAAGTCACATTCTGGTCTGCACCAACTCATCGCATCGTAATAATCACCGATATATATGATGGAGATTCAACTTAAGCTAGAGATAGAATAACATATTTTACCTGAATAAAAGATATGCGACAGCACTCAAGGGTGACCATGCCTTCAAGGCCGAGCCAAATCATCCGGCCAATCGAATAAATTCTATTCATTCTTTCCACCTTCCTTATTGTTGGGTTTTTCTCTGTGTTAAATGTTGGATGTCTATTTTCCCAGTTGTCTCATGTTCGGCTTTGACGATTGCGTAGACAGGGCCCAGTGCCACTACAAATCCACGATCAAAAAACTTTTTCAGCCGATTCAAGCAACATAATCGAAAGTGAGAGTGAACCAATATGGTAGTAGTTATAACAAAATATTAACCAAAACAACCCAAATGTAGTTGGAAACTAGTATGGAAACTCAATGTATGAGTAAGTAAGACGAAAAGTATAATAAAATAAAGGAATCAAAATATCAATGAAATATGCATCTAAATAAATCAACAGGAATAAATCACAGCAGTGTTTACATGGGGGAAATTCGGTGCACAACACTTCAAGAAAGATCCTAGAACACTCTTCGTCACACTTTCGATGTGATCAAATTTACGGGGAGTTCGGAAGAACATAATGATTGGCCCAGTGTTAAAGGCCAGGGACAGACATTTAGTTAACAACTATACCCCCAGCTTGTCTTACTGGCACCATAGTTTAATTCATAAATAGATTATTCGGGCTATTAATGCGGATCACATGAAAATGGGTAGATGTTTTAGTAAAGAGCCTCCATCACACTAGAACAGACACCTGAGATATCGAACATTTTGTCGTTGCAAACATGAAAATATTCTCGAAACTTAGTAAAAGCATTCGACTCAGTTGTTATTTCCGAGTTTTCAACGCCAGTTTGCTCAAAGTATATTAGCATAAAAATTTTGACACATCTAACTAAATAACTATA